TAGGAGTGCAGAATATTTTGACTCTCTTCTAAGACCGAGTGACCTTTTTTGGGTAATGCAGAGTTCTTTGCATGAAGGTCTACAGAGATCCAGTATTCTCTTTGTTGGTCTGATCTACTTCCTGGTACACACTTTCATCTCAGTCCTGTCCTACTTACCACCAGTAAGTTCAAACCACGGTTAAGCAACCGTGTCAAAGGTACGATATAACTGATTAGCTTAGCCTTGCACAAAGATAGCAGGTAGCCTAAATCCATCCAACCAGAACCTCTAAAACACATTGTATGTTTTAATGCACTTAAGGCTCAGTGATCACTTGGCAATAGTGAGGTGGTTTTTTGATAATAAAGCGATAAGAATTCAGTAATATCATGCAACTATCAAAGTTTTAACCATGCAAGTAAAAGCTTTGTGTTTGCTCATTTTTGTGCAGAACAAATTAATTCTATATAATATGTTAAACTGATTCTAGAAATGCGAATCAGCATATTTCTCCAAATGCTTGGTAAAATTGGTCCTTGTTATTGTGGAGGACTTAAGAAAATGTGTAGTAAAGGCCAACCTGGTAGCTGATGTGACAAACAAAGCAGTGACTCATGAAACAACACTCTCACACTGTTTATTTTTAGGTGCATTTTGGGGAACACATGCACCGGCACATAAAGTAATCTTGCTCAGGGGCTGTGGGGTAGGGGGGGGGGGTGTACAGGAGGTTACTAATAACAGCTGCCAGATGTGCAGAGTCCCCAGAGCCTGTGCACATTCTCACAGACAATGGAATGCTTGTGAGGAGCCCCGACAGGAAGTGAGGTCAGTTCTCTTGACCCCTCCCCTAAAAGCTCAGTGAGAGACGCAGCTTTTCAAAGTGTTCCATCATAAACCCACCGACAGTGAGAGTCCACGAACACACACACACACACACATACACTGCTCATCCGACCTGCCGCCGCCTCGGGCTGAGAACACAGACGGCGAGCGGCGACCGTTAAACCGTTAAAGTTGCCCCCATCCCCAACGAGTTAGTGCAAAGTTCCTCTTCTTTCCTCTTCACAGAGAGTAGTTTCCTCCTACCAGCTGCTGCGGGGGCGGCACGCATGAGTGCAGCGAGAGGGCATTGCACAACCATTAGTGCAACCATTAGCAGACGTGACATGAGTCAAACTCGTAGGAACTTTTAGGTGGGGACCAGACCGAGACGCATCTGCTGGCGTTTTCCTTTGTTCCGCTGTGCCTGCTGGTAGAGTGTTTACGATGAGCAGTGAGGGGCTCTCCCTGATGTCATTCAGCCAGGTAGGACTGCCCTGCGTCAGTCTGACGAATTAACACCTGCGCGCTGGTCTTTGAACTGAGGAAAAAAAATATTGTAAAGTAAAGCTCTGAATCTTTTTTTTCCCCTTTTGCATCTTCCCCCCCCCCCCCGGAGCGGTGCATTTCTGAAGAAATGCCAGGCCGATTGCGCCATGGTTTGAATCGTGTTGCAACAGTGCAATATGAAAACGAAATGAGATGAAGAGGGATCAGATTCAAACCTCTCTAACTGTCAACTTTTGACTGAAGGTGCGTCATATTAATAATAGTTTGCAGAGGGGGAACCGGACGGCGGGTGCGAGGCCTTCGTCGACACGCTTGCACAAACATGAACTGCAAGCATGCGCAGCCGGCAACGCTTTGTCAACAAACATCAGCTCAGATAACAATCGTCACAGAGCAGGAGACGCCATGTTGCTCCACTACATCTTTACATCACATACAGCAGCTTCAGCTTCCAACGTACACAAGAGAAAGTGCAACTTTCCAAATGGGTATTTGGGCTTGATTGGGCAAGGGTCACTGAGTGAAACCAGTAGAGTTCCATCATGCTGCCGATGAAGCTCTCTGGACATACAGGTTCTGCAGGAAAGCCCTTCTGGGACTGAGAAACATTGGTTTTATCTCGTTTTATTTGGGCGTTTCACATCTATTCCATATTCTTCTCAGAGGAGGAGTGACCTTCCCTGCTGAGCCATCAGTCACGTTGTACCAGCAGGTTTTTCAACTTAATCATCAGGTCTAAACGGCATGCAAATGTGTTTATTTTCTTTTGGTTAAGCAAACCTCTCTGCATCTATTCATTTTACAGCCTGGATTTACTCATTTTATACTATTTTACTATTTTTGCCAACCCACACTCAAATGAAGCTGTGTTATGTGTTATGAAGTCGCCGTGGTGATGCACCCACAATCCCTGAAGTGTCCGGAGCAAAGCAGCTGGGCAGCTCCTATAATGAGTCCCGGCAGCGTTATGCAGCTGCTGAGGGCTACCAAACTTCAATATCGCCACAATGAAAACCTCTTTGCTATCTTTTCATCTTATCACGGTCTTCCTATCCCAGACACATGACATCACGGACGACTTTGGCTTTCCGCATGATGACCGTGGAGACATTATTACCCCCTCTTGGAGGCTCGGCCCCCCCGATGAGTAACAAGCCCTCAATTACCTTCACCTCACCCTCATTATACCTAAACTCAGACTGGAGAGATGAATGGGGAAAAAACAAATCACAGCGATGAATCATCAGAAACAAACAAATTAAACAGAAGCAGGTTGAACGGTTACTTATTTATCACTGTAGATATTGTGCATGGCCGCTGCTCCCAGCGGACTGAAGGCCAGGATGAGTTGTACAGTGTGGGCTCTGGATCACGCAGGGATCTGCTAGGAGGGAGGAAGTGAAGAGGTGGAACATCTGGACTTCATTTGTGTGCTGGGGAGAAGGTCCAAAAATAGGGGGGTTTTTCAACCCAAAAAAAGAAGAGTATTTTCCATATTAATTGCTGTCCAAATATCAGCTTCACTCTTTGTGAAAAGTGTCTAAACCGGCGGCTCTGTGCGGCTGTGTGACGTTTCCACGCGCTCGCTCTCTCTCTCTCTCTCTCTCTCTCTCTCTCTCTCTCTCTCTCTCGCGTGGGTGTGTGCGCGTATTGTGTGTGCGCGCGCTCATGTCCCCGTGGAGCTGTTGTTCCCACAGAGCGGCCGGCAGGACAATCAGACGGACGGCTGGATTATAAGGACAAAAGAGAAAGTGCCGCGTCCATAAGCAGAGCGTCTTCTCTGCGTCTCTTTCTTCTTCTTCTTCTTTTTCTTTTTTGAATCAGCGCTCACTCGGCCGACCCGGAGACGGTTTCCGCGGTTGCGCACAGACCGGTATGGATTTACCAGAGACTAGACGAGACACGCCGTCCAGTCCTCCTGCAAAGTTTTGATTGTCACCGCCGCCCCTCGGAGCGCGCAGCGGAGGGAAGGCAAGCCGACTTTGACGCGGCGTTTGTGGGGAGAGGAAGACCACACGCGGGGGCGTTTTTTTGGGGAGACACTTATTTGGTCGGAGCGTCTTTATTTATTTTTCCTCTTTGTTTTGCTGCTCTCTCCTGCATCTCTAATGGGGTGAGTTAAAAACGCCGTTGGTGTGACAGTCGGCATGTGCTGCAGCCGCCTAACAAAAGGACCCGACGTGATCTCCACGCGCTTTCACGTTAAATGGGGTCGATTTCGATTCTCGAAAAGCGCGGAGAATGTGTGTGTGTGTGTGTGTGGGGGGGGGGGACTTTTTTTTTTCTTACTTCATAACTAACCAAAAGTGTCCAATGACGCACGCAAGTCTCAAAATGTGGCACCACCAACACATCTGACAGCAGAAAGTTCGGCAACAATGAACAACGTGTGTTTTAAATGGGTAACAGTCTGTGGTGTTAAATATTAACACAAGGTTTACATTTGTCGATCATGGGTGTGGGGGGGGAGGCAGTGGGAGGGAGGGGGTTGCATCATATGCTGTGTGTGTATCTGTTGTTGGAGGTTGAGCTGCGTGCACCTCGGCGCGACCACACACACACACACACACACACACATTTCCTTGGAGCCGTTGCGCAGCCCGCTGTGCCCCCCTCCCCATCCCCTCCACTCTCCTCCCAACCCCCCCTCCCAGCTCTGACCCCTTCGATGTTGTTGGGGCTTGTTCATCCGTCACTCTAAAGAAGGCATTGTGTTGAAAGGATGTATTAATAAGACAAAAGCCCCCATTATCCCCAATGTACCGGAGTTAATCTCGCGGGGCTAAAGAGGGCAGGCAGCACAAAACACACTGCGGCGCGTTGTTGTCACAGACTTAGAAGGAGCAAATATTAGAGGAGCGATCGCAATCCGCTGTCGTCACGATATATTCCGCGTTATCGACAGGTTTTGTATTGGAGCAGTTGAGGCCTTTTGTGAGGAGGGGCCGAACAGCAGGTGGTTTTCTTGTGTCCCCCGGCGGGTCGACCCCGCGGAGAGGGATGCGTAGGTGTCAGCAGCCGAGCCACGGGGCGTCCTGTTGTGGGGCAATCCTCAAATCACAACGAGATAAGGTGATAAGGAGGAGGAACTGATGTTTATTGCCCAGATAAAAGCCTCCATCCGTCATCCCCTGTCCTGTAGAGATGCTCCGATTGGGTCCGCGCGTCGCCGTCCTCGTTAGCGGGGCGGTCGGAGACCGGTGGCGGCTTTACCCCAGGCCCCAGCCGAGGACACGGGCCGTCAAACCAAAGTCTCAAATGCACACGGATGCGGCAAAGCTGGTTGAGCTAAAGAGCAGCAAACAAACCTCAGTGTGATAACATCAGCACTAGGGGGTCGAAGAGGAAGGGAGCGCTGTGCGGCATTAGGCGAGGACTGTCAAGCGCTGAGGGGCCTGTCAGCAGCTCCATTGATGCCGCTGTTGTGAGGGAGCAGCTTGGTTTGTTCAGGGCGGTGCACGGCCCCCCCGTTGGACTCAGATGGTTCCCCCAGCATGCATTGGAGAGCTTGAAGTACGGGGCCGGCTGGCCCGTCTGCGTTGGGTCAAACTGACCACACGGCTCATTGCACCAGAAGAAAAAAGCCCCACTTTGCCAGACCTGCAGCCGGGCTTCCTCACACCATCCGTGGGCCGGGGCACAAGTAACCCTGGGAGGTCACATCTCCCATCATCAGCCCTGAGAAGGATCTTCTCATAAGAAGCAGCAAGGAGGGTTTTCCTGGGAGTAACAATACTGTGCATTTAAAGAATAAGGAGCCATGGCAGATGACAGGAGGCGTGTGTCCATACATTTGGACTTTTCTCCACCAATACCAATATAGTTCTGCGGGGAGCCATCCGTGCTCCAGTGAATTCTTGCTGGTTCTCCCCCTTCAGCTGAAAAACACTTTTCCTTGGGTGTGGCAGCAGAAGCAAAATAAACGCCTTCTGTTCGCGAAGCTGCCCAAGCGCAAGTCACAACACACAGCTGACAGCGTGCGGCGGCTTTCGCGGCCCAGCGCCCGGGAGTGTCTCGGACGGGAGGACCAAATATGGCGTCCTCCGCTTCCCACCCGTTTTTTACACGAATGCGAATGTTTCACTGAAGGTCACCGAAGGCCGTTTGCCTGTAAGGTAGAGAAAAACACGTGCACCGTCTCCCCTTTTCCAAACAACTCCTCCCGAGTGGCTGCCAGTGCTGCTCCGATACTCTTCTAAACATTTACTTGATGATATTTGCCTTCTAGGAAGGCGTTTCACCCAGATGGCAGAAATCATCAGCTCTTAAGTCCTCCTGTCACATTCCTTTTCCACTTGAAGCACTTGGGCAAACGATGAGACCCTCCCATGACCAGGCGCTGATGCTTGTAGCAGCATGCCGGGATTTCCTAATGCTTTTACGGGCTGTTCTTCCTCTGTCACGTTTCAAACTCGTACCCGGCCCCCTCGTTCCGATCGGAGGCCAGTTGGTAATAATGCTGCAGATGTTTCTTTTTTTTAATTTTTTTGATAGCTTAGACGGGCTTTTTTTTTTTCCTCTCCTCTTGTGCAGCGTTGGCGCTCAGCACGGTCAGGAAGTCCATGCGTCCCTCGGAGACCACGGCAAGTAGATCCAAGACGAGCGTCGACCTTTCTCGCATGCAGCTCCGGAGGAGGACGCTTGCGCACTGCAGCCTGTGCTTCGGTCGTGCGGCGTGATTTATGAACTGGACGCGGACGGCTCTACGGCGGCGGGTCTAATCGGTGGTCACGTTGTGGTTTCCTGAGTTCTGTAAATTCTCGGCGCTCACTCCAGGACCATCTCGGAGCAGGTACACATGAAGAGGCTGTGGTTTTAGGAGTCCTCTACTTTCTTCTTCTTCTCTCTTGGACGCCTTTGTTAGCCACTCAGCTTTGTTTGTGCAGCTGGGGAACTCCGCAGGATTACTTCAACACCCCACCTCCCCAGATCCAAAAGTAAGCTTGGAGAGGTTTTCTTGGATTTTGAATTCCCCCCCCCTGCAGCCGGTTCATTTAGTCTGGAACTGAAAGTTAGCTTGATCGCCTCCTAATGAGCTCTGACCGATCTCCGTAATCGCTGGCAGACTTTAAAAATAAGGCGAAATAGCCGTTCAGTTAGAAAACAGCTATTAGGATTGTTTATCCGGCGAAGTCCTCAGCTTTAGTCTTTCCAGGCTGAGAGACAAGATGGAACTAAGCTGCAGCCAAACACAAGCCGGGTCAGACTGCTCCGTCGAAAGCAGATTGATTGAGGGGAAGTGGAATCTGTTTACTCAAAACCAATGTGACAACTGCTCCAAAGTGTCAGTTTCGGGCGACTGGTGTCGAGGTCAAGTACCGGTTGTCTCGTAGACTCTGAAAAGCAGGAACACGTTCTGTTCTGTTTATTGGTTTTGAGAAATGTCCCTCGGCACAAGCCAAGGCTGCGTCAAAAAGCAGAGCCATTTGTAGTGGCTCTGCTTTTAGTTGTTTACTGTAGCCAAGAAATAAAACACACATCTTTGGAAGGTTGCGTGTCCTCGGGTCCCTTTGTGAGCACATCCACTGGCCTCTAAAAGCCGGTTGTGTCGGCTCTGCAACAACACTTTTTTTACACTTTAAGGACTAGCGTCCTCGTCCCAGAGAGGAAATGAATTCATAAAAAGGAAATTCTTAAATTGTATAAAATGTGGCAGAACAACTGTGGACACAACAACGTTCCCTCTCCAGGCAACCGTGTGTTTCTCCAACAACACAACTGTGTGGATGTGCGTTTGCCAGAAGGAGGCCGCTGGACCACGGAGGGGGGATGGAGGGCCTCCATCAATTCATCATCTTATCAGGGAGCGATCGGGGGTTAGTTCGGGGGGGGGGGGGGGCTTCGCTTTGCCGCCGGCGCCTTTGCCCCGCTCTCCTGCGCTGATGTTGACGTCCGTGTGTGAGGACACCCGTTCACTGGCACGCAAAGCACAACAAACGGCCAGCAGCTCTCTCACGCCAACGAAGCAGCAGAACTTGAGACGGGGCGGAGTTCAAGGTGTAGCAGGGTGTAGAATGGGAGCAGGGAGCCGTGGACTGAAGGGACATCGGGGGGGTTCAAAGCCGTCCATTAAGGGGGAGCTGGTTGTAAAGACGACGACGCGGCAAGGTGTGAAAGGGGCAGAGCGGCTGAAACTGTGTAAACGAGCTCGCCTCGTCGTTCAGGCCTAAGTTTAGCACTGATTCTGAGCTTCCTCAACAACAACAACGCGTTGCCGCTGACCTGCGTGTGCACGAACCGACCGCACAGCTTCTCACAGCGTTTTCGTGTGAGCTTGAGTTACTCTTCCTGCTCAGCAGATCTGAAGAATGCTGCAGAGAAGCACGCTTGTGTATTAGCGTATTTGTTGTTTGGGGTAGTGTGCGTGTGTTATTGTCGACTAGTGGACACATTATCTGAGGAGGTTTTGGCTTCTAAGAAACCCGAGCGCTGATTGCACCATTTGTGTTGTAATGAAGTGTTTAACAGGGGCCCATAAGAACATGTCTGCCCCAGATGTGCGCTAAATAAATCCTTTCTTGCATTCGTGCATTTAACCACCTCTTTGTGGCCTTGTCTTTTGATGTCCGCGGTGAAGTAAAAAAAATACGAGTCGGGAGTGGGGGGGGGGGGGGGGGGGCCTTGAAAGGGAATATTTAAAAAAAAGCCTTATAAAACGGGTTAATTTGTCAGACAGTGACTAAAGTTGACAGGATCGGTCCGAGGATGAAGGTATTACAGTAATTGCCTCTCAGGCGCCACCCTTGGAGATTCCCAACCCCCCCCCCCCCCCCCCCATGGAGCAGACTGGGGGCCTGGAGGGGGAATTGATGGGGGGGTGGGGGGTGTCTGCCGGTCGTGCGGGTTACGGCTCCTCGGGCTGCATGATGCCCTTTATTTCTAAACGCAGCTCTTTGTCTCCAGCTGCTCTCGCTGCCGCTGTAACAGCAAACAGCCGCCGTAAACAAACAAAACGGAAGTCTGGCGAGATGAACCGAACCGAACAGAGAGAGAGAAAAAAAAAAAAGACAGGAAAAGGCATAAAGTGTTGAGAGGAGGCTGTACCCAAACTGTCAAACCGTTTGACGGGCGAAAGGGTAATCCCTAATTAAACGACGTATTGAGGACACCCACTCTCCTAATATCCAGCAGCTTATACGCAGTTTCAATGAACCGCGTCAGCATCATAACGGACAAAGAGGAAGATTTGCACTCGGGATCAAATAAAAATACAGAGGTAAAACCGTTTTAATGTCACTAAAAGAACAGTTTTGTTTTTTTTATGCCCCGAGGCTGGTATTATCACACTGATCCATGTGGTACTTCTCTATTTTTTCTAAGTTCTAAAATATCTGTAACATTGCCTCGCAAAACGACGGGCATTTTTCTTCTGTGTTAAATTGATTGTTCCCCTATTTGAGTTCCTTTCCCGGTTGCAGGCTGTCAGACACTGCAGACTGCCGTCTCCTACCTGGACCCCCCAGCCGCCGCAGCGATACTGAAACCAGCTCTCTTCCTTCTTGTTTTTACTAAAATCTCAGATCTCAGCGACTTTTTTGCCCTTTTTTCCCTCCTCCGTCGTCTCCCACAGCGTGTGAAGGCGACGCCAGAATGACTCACACTCTCCGCTGGTTTTCACCACGCTGGTTTTCACTACGCTGATTTTCACTACGCTGATTTTCACTACGCTGATTTTCGACTTTTATGAAATCTCAGTAAACATGTGAAAGTAAACTAACATAAGGAAGAATAAAAGCGGGCTCATCTGAGACTCGATATTGACTGTGGATGCTAAAGAAAAGAAAGGGGAAAAAAATGCAATTGCAGTGGGAGTTCTGAGGTCTTGAGGTGAATGCATTTCCATTTCGGGTAACTTGTTGATAAGCACAATAGGAAGTTGAGATAGCTGATGAGAGGCACGTTCCCGAATCTTCTCTTTCCGCCAGCTGGGCATTTTCACTCCACTGTTTTGGCCGTCGGGCGTTATCAGCGGGCTTGTCGGCAGCGGGCCGTGTAACCGGGATAACGGTGGCCACTAAAGATAAGATCCGGCCATCTTTGTTTTGGGTTTATTTTGACGCGAGCTGTGGCGGGGCGGGGGGCCTCGAAGGGAACAGTCGTGTCGCAGCTGGAGCACGAAACCTCTCTCCGTGCCCGATGGCGGTGGGGAGGACGGTCGGCGTGCACCTTTTCTCTTGGCCGAGTGGCGGCCGACGGGGGGGAAACGGCTTTTCCCTCCCCGTCCTCGTGAAATCTATTCCGGGGGCGAGTGATATCACTGGTACAGGCGACCTCATGTTGAAACCATCCACTTCAAACACCTCGGAGTGTTTAGGAGATCCCGAACACAAGCAAGCAGAGGGGAGGAGGAGAGTACGGTCACAGAAAGGCCCACCTAGAGATGAATTACAGACTAATGCCTCTATTAATGGTTGACAAACTAAGCAGGAAGGAACAAATCAGCAGCGGACGCGTCCTGTATCCATCATCACCTCGTGGCCCAGAGGAACAGTCTGGTGGGTCACAAAGGGCCCAGGAAGTCGCTGAATCTCCTTAATAATACGATTTTGTGCTTGGATTGTTGCCCTGTTGCCACCACAGCGACTTGTGCGCAGGGAGGGTGAAGGCCAGGTGGAGGGAGACGAAGTTACAGGATGTGACAAACCACAAACTGCTCGGGTGATGCTTTTAGATAAACAGTCATTTAACACACTTCGACGCAAACGACAACTGGCAGCTGTCCGACTCAAGGTTAGTCGTCCGCTCTTATCTCAACCAAAGTGTGTGTGTGTGTGTGTGTGTGTGTGTGTGTGTGTGTGTGTGTGTGTGTGTGTGTGTGTGCACAGAAACATGGAGGTGGGTGTGTGGAGGGAAAGGAACTCGTTTCCCCAGAGAAAGCAGAGGCAGAGTGTGACAGGTAGCAGGTGATGTAATGGGGCAAACGGGGGGGGGCGTCTGCTTTTTAGTGGGCAGATGGTGTGCTAATTGGGGCTTATCAGGTGTTGGGGGGCAAAAAAAGTGAAAACCTGAGGCTTTTGTTCAGCCGTCAGAACCGTGATGGAGAGTGGAACTCTGGATTAGGAGAAAAGCGGAGTCGGCTTTCAGCAGTTGAATCGTCTTGCGGGAGATCTGTGCAGCTTTCTTGCTGCATGCGGTTCCTCGCTCGATGGAGAGCAATTTTGCATCTGTGTGTGCGTGTGAAAGGTGAGCAGAGCTGTGAAAACCAGTGAGCACGAACAGGCACCACAAGAGGCGACGTGCACGTCATTTCTCTAGAAACGGCTGCTTTGGTGATGATGAGATTTTCTCAGCTTTCTGGTAGGATATCCTGTCTCAGGTGCCTCCTGGCGCCTGTGTCCATGGTTGTCGCTTTCATCACCACGTCTGCTGTTTGCTTCTCTTCACTTTGAAATCCAGACAGGATATTATGGTATTTTTCTTGCTTTGACACCCTCACACTTTCTACACAACAAAACATTGTTCATGAAACCAGGACGTTCCACCGTGTCTGTTCTTTTTTGAGGTTCACAAAATCTACACGCTTCAGCGTATTTACATGTTAGTCAAGAGAAATCACTTTTAATAGAATAAATAGTATACTAGTAGCCGCAATAGTTACTCATTTCGAATAAAAGATTAATACAACCTAAATATAGATACATTATATTGAAGTTGCATAAGCCTTTAATGCATAAGTGATTGCAAATGTGTTTTCAGCTGAATTGATTGAGGTATTTGAACTTTTGAGCAGTAGTCCAGTAAAGAGTTGTACTGGCTGCACGATCAAGATTTCAATATGTTTATATACTTGTGAAATTGTTCTAAACTAAGATTCAGCACATAGAATACTACACTCCGTACCGTCGCATGAATCTCACAGGTTTTATTATTCCCTTAACAAACCAAAGAGCAGTTTTTTGATGCGTTTGTGCAGCTGCGGCCGTCAAATTGTTGCTCTGAAGAAAGGAGCCACATGGCTTGACAATATTTTTATCCGCGTGTTGTGTCTACTGTGATTGGAGGGAGGGATGAGGGTGGTGGCGGGGGTGGGGGGGGGGGGTGTAGCAGTCAAACAATAACTCGACCAATCACCGTGGAAACACCTGAATGGCACACGGGCGGCGGGTAGAGGGACAGGGTGGGGAGAGACGGGGCTGTCGGCAAACCAGCCCGGCAGGTTCTTTACACACACACACACTGAAATCCCTGTGATGACAGACGCCATGGGCCTGCAGGTGAAGGGACGCCCTCGGGCCGTCTGCGCGCTCGGCACGCAGGCGAGAGGAGGATGGAGCAGCGGCGGTGCGTCTTCCTCTCAGCCGACGGCCAGAGATACGGAGCTGGCAGACTTTTCCACTGACGAAATCATTACAGGCTGCAGTAATGTACCCTGATGTGATTACCCCTGGTGCAGCTGGCCCACGTGCTCAGCCTCAAGCCTCCAATTTGAGTCTATTAATGGAGCTGAAAAGGATGGGGGAGGACGGGAGGGGGGGCTGTTCTGATAAGCGAAGGCTGGGCTGTAGATTCGTTTCTGCTGCGATGCAGCTGCAGCAGCAGCCAGATGGAAGTGTGCGGCTCCATTATTAAGGCTGAAGGGAGACTATTGTTCTTTGTTTTCCGGCTGGAGGAAACCGCGTGCTGGTTATTGCTGGCCGTGTGTCTAACCTGCGGAATGCTGTGCGCCACTACTCCCTGTCTGTCACAGACAGTAGTGTGTGTGTGTGTGTGTGTGTGTGTGTGTGTGTGGGAAGGCTTTCAGTGCACGAGCAGAGTAAAGTCCCGCGCGGTGCATCTGGTCACACGGAGGGGTTTGTGGACGTCACAGGGGTGTCTCAGATTCCAGCCTTTGTGTCCAGATGCCGTTCCACATGCATGCCCTCCGTCCGGCTTTGTCCCGCTCGCTCGCCGTCTCTCGTGTCTCTCGTGTCTGGAGCAGAAGCCCGGCAGAACAGAGACGAGGTTCAAGATTCCACTAAAGGTTTGCAGCTGGGAGCGAGCTGCAGGAGATGAACAGGGTTGAGTTTCGCGTGGAGCCGGCCTGCGCAGGGATCCTGTTGCTTTTGACAGGTTTAAGACACCAGCTCCACCTCTAATTAGACTCCCGAAGCCTTAAACTCTCCTTTGTTTTGGGGGTGAAGGAGCTCTCTGAGCAATTTCAAGCCACACAAGTGGTTCACAGGGTTTTTGTTAATTTGTTTAGCTGCGTCATTATACAAGTGAACCCTTCATCAGATAAAATGTTCTTTGGTTTTAAACTTTTTTTATTTAATTACACTATTTTGTAATAAAAAGAAATGCACATTCATCACCATGAGATATAATGTCACTGTGACAAATATTTAAAATGAAGGCAGCAGTTTTTTATTTTCCTTTATCAATTTATCTGCAGATATTCACATAAATGTAATCCTTTGATCTTTGAAATGTCAAAAAACTTTGGCTTGCTTTGAGTAAAACATGTTTCACACTATCTTAAGTGATATCTTTAGATGTCTTGTTTTCCAATCCCCCCCCGTATTTCCAATGTTTCATGTTAATGTGAAACAGAAAATAACGAACACGTAATGTCTGACACTCGGAAACTCCCAGCCTTTCCTCTCGGGGGCCTCGATTTTGATTCGCTGTGCTCTTGTGTGAGCTGGTTGGAGGTTTTGGGACGAGACGAGATCTAAAAGCCGTGTCCGAGTTTCAAGAGGTGGCTTACTGGGGTGGAAAAGTTTGCTCGCGCCCAACAATGGCGTTGTGTTGACAGCCGAGTGCTCGGACAGGGTCGGTGGAATGTCCCTTTTGTCCGAGCGCCAGCACTCACAGAGTGTTTATTCTTCTACCTGAAGATGATCTCTTCCTGCACAGTTTCATCAGCTAAAGGAAAGCGAAAATACTTTTTGCATTAATTCCCTTTCGGTGAATTTAAGTTTCCCAAAAGCTCTCTTTTTTTTTTTTTCACAATACCACACAAGTCGCTTTCCGTTCCTCTTCGACCGCGACAAGCTGCCACTGTTTCCTGTGTGGGTGTTCAGTTTGGGATCCGTGCGTGTGCCCTCTTTTACTTACTCAATGTGAATACCAGCTCTTTATTAATCGCTGCTCGATCTGTTCTGGGAGATTCGGATTTCAAGATCGTCTCTTAATTCCTTTTCCTTCACTCTTTGACTTGAACTGTTTATTTTCCAGGAACAGGTTGTTGCCTGGTTACGTTGTTTTGATTTCGCAAAAAAAATGTTGGTTTGTGCGAGTGCGTTTCCCCTTTCGGTAACCCGGGCCTTCTCTCCATTTCTCTGTCTGCAGGTGACCCACATAGAGCTCTCAAGACGTGACTGTGGGACAGGCCGTCTCCCTCGCAGCCCCGGCCGTCCTCCTGTCGCCTCCTTAAAGGCAATGATCATCGCCTGAGGAGAAGCTCTGCACGACTCCACTGTGTGAATGAATCTTTGCCGTAAAGCCGCTGTGCTCTGCCACCCTGTCACCATGAAGAGCAAGTACTCCCAGTACTACAACCAGAGCCTGATCCACTCCTACTACACCTTCGCAAAGAACATGAGCACCCAGGAGCTGGCCAAGCGCATCGAGAACAAGAAGAAGCTCAGCAGCCTCGACATGGTCATCGTGGTCCTCTGCACCATTATCATCCTGGAGAACCTGCTGGTCCTCATCGCCGTCTGCCGCAACAAGAAGTTCCACTCCGCCATGTTCTTCTTCATCGGCAACCTGGCCTTCTCCGACCTGCTGGCAGGCTCCGCCTACATAGCCAACATTTTCCTGTCAGGGTCGAGGACCTTCGACCTGATGCCCGTGCAGTGGTTCATCCGGGAGGGCACGGCGTTTATCGCTCTGGCGGCGTCGGTCTTCAGCTTGCTGGCGATAGCCACCGAGCGCTACATCGCCATCACCAAGGTCAAGGTGTACGGCTCCACCAAGACGTGCCGCATGTTCCTCCTGATAGGAGCCTGTTGGGTCACCTCCATCCTGCTGGGAGGGCTCCCCATCATGGGCTGGAACTGCATCAACGACCTCCCCGAGTGCTCGGCCGTGCTGCCGCTGTACTCCAAGAAATACATCCTCTTCGTTGTCACCATCTTCAGCCTCATACTGCTCTCTATCGTCATCCTCTACGTGAGGATCTACTTGATTGTGCGCTCCAGCCACCAGGAGGCGACCAACCTGCCGGCCTACGCCCTCCTGAAGACAGTCACGATAGTGCTGGGCGTCTTCATCATGTGCTGGCTGCCCGCTTTCACCATCCTCCTCCTGGACACGTCGTGCAGGATACAGTTCTGCCCCATCCTCTCCAAAGCGGAATTCTTTTTCAGCTTTGCCACTCTGAACTCGGCGCTCAACCCCGTGATCTACACGCTGCGCAGCAAGGACATGAGGAAGGAGTTTCTGCGCGTGCTGTGCTGCTGGGGGGTTCTGCACAGCGGGCGGCCAGCCGACCGCTGCCTGGTGCCTCTAAAGAGCTCCAGCTCTCTGGAGCACTGCACCATCAAACATGAACATCAGACCACACCGATCATGCAGGACTGTACCAGCGTCTGATACGGTGCAAAGACATCAGAGTGGGCGTGTGAGTGAGTGAGTGAGTGAGTGCGTGCATGCGTGTTTGTGCGTGTGGGAGATGAAAAAAAGAGGTCCTGCTGGGATGCAGAGATGTTAAAAAAGATGCTCTGGAGTGAGAAAAGCTGCCTTTTTCTTATTACAATCGGAGTTGTGTGAATTCACAATCCGCATCCAATCCATCGCAGCGGGTGTCAAAACACAATGTTTCAAGAGGGAGCCAATTGAGCAGGAGGGTACTGTCAGAAATGTGATAAGCTTTTTTTCGTGGGTACTCTGGTTAATTAAAATGGAGTCATGTAAATACTTTCTAAACATGTAAACCCCTTTTGAAAGCCAAAATCAGAAACAGGCATAATATTGTAGTTATGGTGAACTGTTTTGGGCCTTCCAGCCATTGTAGCTATGCAAAGATTGCAAAGTTGCACTTTGTAGTATACTGTTGTCCTCCGTTTCACTCTCATGCACTGATATGTGTAAACATCAGCCCCCTCCCCCCTCGATCCATCACTTGTGATCAGCTCCACTGAAGCCAAGTTACCACGAGTACTCCCTCAACTAAAACCGGAGCTACTTACTTCCCCATATAACCTTGCTTAAACAATTTGAATAACTACGACAAACTTACATAATCTGCTTACATTTAATGCATGAAATTCAAACGTATTTGTAAGAGCTAATGTATGTGTGATATACTCCAGCTTCCATCACTAACACCGCTTCCCTCATCCGTTCTCATAGTCTGTCCCTCTTGCTTTTACTGTTGTCTTTTGTATCCCAACAGTTTCCGTTGAGGAAGGCCTAATCAGAAAGCACATTTCCTGAAGTGAGTTGGCGCTGATGGGTTTCACTCAATGTCAGCTGTCCAGCAGCTTTGACTAATGGGGCCGACGTCCCGACAGTGTTGCAGCAACGTAGCCGCGATGTGCCGTCTCTGTTAGTGCCTTCCACCCTGGGGAAAATTAGGCTGAATGTATGTATGAAGTGTTTGGGGCAGGTTGCTCCGTTGTTGACAGTATTATCGATCGTCCTTATGAATTACCAAGTCATTGACGAGCAGAGAACGGGATGAACAGGGTAGGTCACTCTCACTGTGAAGTCTTCAAAAGCACCCCGAACAAAACAAAAAAACTCCACCACGTTGTGAACATCCTGGTTTAATTTGCTGGCCGTATGCCTTGTGCAGCTAAAGAACACGTAAACACGTCTCATCTTTCCAAAGACCCCCTTCCACCCCTACAAAATACGAGCAGATCCGGTTCCAAATGCACAGGGGGGTGGGGGGGGTTCCCCCTGGGAGGTCACCTTCATCCTCATCTCTGACATCCTACAACATGTCACTTCCTCCCGCCACAGGAAGTCCGTTTTTTCATTGTCCCGTTCCTGTTGCTCAGGGTTATACTAACCCTTTTCCTGTGGACATACATCTAAAAGTCTCCCTCGCTTGTTTTTGATATTGACATTTAAATTTAGATGACCAAGTAGAAATGGTGAAAAGCACTTTGGCAGCTTCAGTGATGTTTGCTTTCCCGAGTTTTTTTTTTTTTTTTTTCCGATGGAGAAGGTGTTTTGAACTGTGTACCTGTCCCTTCATTGTGTTGCTTGACTCTGTGATGTTTTATAGTAAATACATGAATAACTATGTATGTTTGTCTGTATGTATTTTTGTACAGTATGTATGATTTGTGTTGTATAAAATGTCTCGTGTGCAATAGCCTTTTTTATGTCCAATAGCACGCTGCCTGTGTTAAATCGGTACAATCTGAAACACTAATGTAGGTACATAAACGTTTTGTTCTTTGCATTCCTTTTTTATAAAATAAATGAAATACTGAAAGAAATCTTCGTGTGTTTGAGTTTAACTCTGATTTGCAAGCTGCTTTAATGCAGCTATGACTTCTCTGCAGGTCCTGAGACGCTTCCCTATTGTGGCTGCATCGAAGAAGTATTCCAAATGGGGCATTTAATCCAAACATGCTGTGACATGGTTTGAAGAATACCAGCTTCAACATGACAGCCTGAAAGTACATGCAAATCCTGCTTTTGCTTGGCCGTTAATCACAGAGCTCTAACCTAATAAAACCGCTCGATTGCTTAAAGGCTAAAGCAAGACAGCGCTATGGTGGGAAGTCTGAGAGAAGCATGAAGTAAAGCCCGGGAGAGGTTTTCGGGGTGAGGGGAGAGACTGACTTGTAGTGGCCTTGGGGGAGTTGGGCTTGTTTCCTGTCAGACATCCAGGATTCCTGGGTGGGAACGCTGGCTGAATCAGCCCCAGGAGGCTGCGCTGCTGGGATGCCTGCCAAGACTTTCCAGCGAGCTGCAGGATATGACATCAGACTCAGAAACCTGTAGGTGAAGTTGTGTATACAAAAACATGGAAGTCAGCCGACCAGATGTATGTGGAGTCGTCCCTGCATAGAGAACATAACAAAATAGACATGAGGATCAAAATAACACATATTCATCATCTCCATTTATGTTTATTATTATTAGATTATGTAAATATAATACACGCAAACTACGTTGAAACGGAAATAAATCACTGCTCAATTAATAACTTATACGTTTGTGGATTTCTATTGAATGTTGTGATTGGAACTGGCTGTACATGTTAACATGTTACATTTGTATTTACAATATAACGGAGATGATTCTCAACCATGATCTGATAACCTGAAACAATACTCACGTAATTGATGTCATACTGCCACCTCGTGGTTAAATAAGCTTACAGGCATATTTTAATTATATTTGAACGTCCTTCTGATATTATCTCCCCCCAAAAATTGATAGTAGGTCAAGCAACCAAAATCAGCAGTGACATGCACATCTGTATCTACTGATGGAAGAGAGAAATATAGAGAGCGCGATTGTAGATCAGAACGCAAAGATCAACGTTACGTATTATAGCAGCAAACATAGCCTATTGCTAACTATTGCTCGCTGCAGTCTACTATATGCCTTCATTCAAAAGTATGGATAAGCTACGTATACATGCTCATCTCAAATACAGATATTTATTGAAGGAATAATTAATTAGTAAACAGCATTCAGATTGCTTCCGCTTGGTCCGTCGTCCAAAGCATCTGGATAACAGTAGGGGTAAGCCAAGCTACTTGTTGATTTAAAGAAAATATATATTTTACGAATACAAGCAGGCGACCATCAGATTTTTAGTTTTAATGTTCTGTTTGTAATGCGGAAATGGGATTTAAATTCAGACGATGCGACGAGGAGGGACATATTAGGCAGAGTGTTGAAATGGTTTTACCCACACATCACTAAAGTGGTACAGTCCACAACACCCGGGTTTCCGCGCGAAAAGACGGCCCGCGCGCCCGAATTGCTTATAGTATCCACCGCGAGGGACGCCAAGCGAACACACCGGAGCCTCGCTGCAGGGACCAACGGCCGGGTTTAAACATTGTTTTAAACGATTTTAACGCGGTTTTAACCCTTTTATATCTCACTTGTTGAGCTAGCCGTTTGTCATGCCATCCAAGACCTCCCTGTCTCTTCCAGAGGATGTCAGGAAAAGGTCCGTTAACCCGAATGCTAACAATGTCGTTATGTTCTAGCATGCGTGCAGCTGGAGGTCTTCGTCAAAAACGCCTCATTAACATGTATTAAACCGAATGTTACAAGCTGCGCTGGACTTTCCCCGGCTGTCACCAGCAAGGCAGCTTCTTCTACCTCCTGCCGTTTATTAGCAACTGCAGCTAGCGTTAGCTTGTTGTCACTTGACAGTGTGTACTGATGCTGCATCCAGCGCCCCCCCACCCCCTGGATAACGCTAAGCAGTTAGCATCTTAGCCTGTCAATGGATGGAGCAGCGTGGGAGATTTGGCGCCACTCGGGAAGTTTCGTTATCTAACGTTACGTTCCCGCTAGCTCGCTGTCAACACGAGTTTCACTGCCACCGTCGCGTCATGTACGCTAACGTGCACCTGCGTTCCATTTAACGTGGCGTTGTTTTGACTTTCCAGGCTGCAGGTGCTGGATGAGGACGGCTCTTCGGGCGAGGTGGGTTCCATGTCTGTTCATCTCTCTGCTAACGTTGCTCACTCATCACTCTCGCTTGTGACGCGTTTCGTTGCGGGTTCCTAAAGACTATTGAACACTATTGCGGTTTCCAAGTGTCTTGTTAATCGAAGTGGAAGCCCCCAACCCTTTTAATTGTTTTTCACTTCTCTGCGTTCTGCATATTGGTTCATTTACAATTCATTAATTTAAATGATTATATAGGTATGATTACAAGCAAAAATATGGACTGTTATTTTGATTCCATCAAGATGATGGTTGCTTCATGGATGCACTCGTTTGATAAATTAAATGGACACAATCACTCCCTGAGTGTCGTAATCATTTCAACTCTTGATGGTGTCACAATGAAGGTGAGTATGTATAAAGAAAAGTTCGAACCGCATCAATAAAGCCATGTTCTGCGGTGCTAAACATTTATTCACGGTATTGGCATCAATTTGCTTCTCTGGTGAGGTTACACTGTGCATTTTAGGACCATAGTCCGTAACAATGAAAAAAAGAAAGGCATCAACTTTAGAGCTTTTTTTTTTTTTTTAAGTGTTTTCAAAGTTCTGACCGATATTCTGTATAAATGCTGTTCCAGGATCATGTGAAAGAGAAGCTGAAGTTGGTGCAGAACTTCCTGCATGTCGACGCTCAGGACCAGCTGAACAGCCTGGAGGAGAAAATGAAGAGTTCAGAGATGTCAATGGTTGGTGACTCTTAAATATATCTAAACGATAACTAATCCTCAAACGTCAGCTCATTCTTCCTCCTGTGACTGCCGTGTACTTTTCTCAGGACGTCTACCTCTCCAAAGTCAAGGCCTTGCTGGGAAAAGAGCTCAATCATGAGAATGGCTCACACGTTGACAGCGTTGAGCACAACGGAAAGACTGTTTTATCCAACGGTTCTCACAAAGACGAGCACAGTGAAGACGTGACCATGGAGGAGGAAGAGGAGGCTGTCAAGTCGCCAACGGCATCAAAAGGGAAAGGTGGACGAAAGAGCAAAACAAATTCTGACAACACAAGTACGTTTATTTTAAATATTTTAATATTTGTTATGAAACACCTTCCTGCATGTAAATAAACTGATTTTAAGACTGTTTTATATGATCAAGTGTTTCTTCATTGCAGAATCTCCAGCCAGTACGAGAGTTACGAGAAACGCTGGGAAACAGCCAACCATCATGTCAATGTTCTCTAAAGTGTGCGTACATGAAATCTTAATTTGTAAAGCATTTTTTTACTCATTCAGCAACTAAGAGGAAATTCAAGTTTTACAAGTACATGTAAATCTTTTTTGCAGTCAAAAGCGAAAGTCTGAAGACTTGAACGGAGACGCTGCTAATGGAGAAAATGAAGGGAAGAAAGAGGAAGATGATGCAGAGGCGGTGAGTAATTATTTTCCAGTGGTGTTTAAACACAAAGAGCTGTGACTGTTTTGGCTGGTATGTAACTCCATATTTATGTTGTAGACTCGTGAGGAGAAACGTCTTAAAGTTGAATCGGATGAAACGTGAGTTTTTTTTTTTTTCTCAACATAAGTGGTGGTGATGCAACGTACAAGCCAACGCACTAATCCCATTTTCTGTGTGCAGTGCTGCTCCAGAAAAATCTGAGAGTGAGATTACCAAACCGGTCTCTGCTGCAAAGGTAATGACTTGTTGTTTGGCTCCGTGTCGAAGCTGTAAACACGTCTGCAGGGCTTTAGAGCCTCGCAACACCTACGCAGGTGTTGTCCCTTAATCCGGCTGATTGGTCCTCTGCAGGCTGACTGTGGGCCGCAGTGCTGAAGAGAAGCCGGCTAATCAACCAGATTAGTTGAATACACCTGTACTGTCTTTAACATAAATATACTTTGAATGTCTAAATATTGTTCAGGAAACGTCTCGTTGCAAACAACTATTTGGTTAAACACTCTGTCTACCACAACTAAATGCCATGTACCAGTTATGAAATACTTGTCATGTTTACCTAAAGAGCGCAATGTATAATTACAAAACCTGGCCATCTAAGCCAAAGGAAACTATTTCCACCTAAAACTGTATTCTGTGTTACCTGCAAATGTTCATTCCTTACCTTGATTGCCCGACTCTTAAGATTTGTCCAAAAATTGTTAATGACTTTGTCATTTCCTGCCTCTGAAGACTCCACAGGTTAACGGTTTTAGTTTATCCTTAATGATTCTTACCGACGCATCCTGTGTATTTATTGCAGACACCGCCCCCAAAATGTACAGACTGCAGACAATACCTGGACGATTCCGATCTCAAGTTCTTTCAAGGAGATCCTGATACTGCGGTGAGAATTGTATTCCCCTAAATGTTTTCCTAGGGTTAGGGGTGTGCTCTAACTACTTACAGCTTGAAATAATTTACTTGCAATATGAATTTAAAGATCAAATTTACCTCGTCGGACCTGTACGCATTTAATCAGCATCTTTTTCATGGATACCCCAAAGTAACATCCCTGGAAGCAAAGGTTTTGAGCATCTTTTCCACCCTGAAGAACGCAGTTGTGTGAAAATGTAAACGCACTCTAATCAATGACCGTTTGGCAGCTTCGGTACAAAAGGCTTTGCTTTGATGGAACACTCGCGCTCTGCCCCAACTTTATTTCAATGTATAATTTCCAAGGCAAGAGGGGTAACTTAACCTCCTTACCTAGTAGCTCCCATGTTTGTAGTGAGTCATTTTTAGGTGTACAGATTACTACAGACCCCCTGATCAAGCTACACTGCAACCCTTCTTTTTTTTGGGGGGGGGAGTTTTTTTCCTGTGCCGATGTGTGGGGTTCAGGATTGTTGTATGTGT